ATACAGTATAAGCAAAGAACAATAAACCATAAGTTGACAAGCACAATTGCAACAAAAACGAAAAGTTATACTTTGTCTGAAATTTCATGATTAACAAAGAATAAAGCACCGAAAAAAGTAGTTATAGAAGTTAAAATCTCTCTATACTCTAAAATATTAAATAATGGGTTTTTGTAGGGCTAAAATCTAGTCTAGATTCTCAAGAATCCTGAGAGTACTATTAAACTTAATAATGCCTTGAATATGTTTGAGTATAGATTAAGGAATACATTGACACAAACAAGGAAGGTTTTCCTTAATATGTTTAGAAATTCCCAGTAAAAATATTATGGCTTTAATCCTTAATAGATCATTCGATAACTACCAAAAAATTATAATTTTTGAAGTCTATGCTTATTTTTGTGCAGATATAAGAATCCTACTATTGGTACACCAAAGATCCAAACTAAAACAGAAATTAATCCAATACCAAGACTCCAGATCAAATGTTCTTTCGTCCAACACTTCACCTAAAGATCTTATTGAAGCCAATACTCTCCCTTATCTAGCTCCATACAAAAATATAAACTAGTAGTCATTCTTGTTATTGTTGGATGCATAGAATAAATAATTACAATTGTTGCTACAGTAACTTATCTTCTAAAATTTGCAAAGTCTGAGTTTCTAACTAACTTAATAATGAAAAAGAATATCCAAAACAGTATATTCATTATTAAGGGAAGTATTACTATTACTAAGGTCTTGAAGTAAAATATAGATGAGTCTGGTTTGATAAATCCTGTATCTTACAAAAAGCAATCAAAAGAAATTATGTGTTCTGCGATTTCACCTATATGAGAATACATGCCAAAAAAAACTTCTAAATAATAAGGCCAATTAAAATTAAATGCAGCAGCAGAAGTTAAGATCTGAATATAGTTAAGTAGTATTCTGAAAACTATACTTGTCTCACTCTCTTTCTGAGATCTTAGATTTATCCAAAGTAATAATGCTAGAGCTAAGACTAAAACTAAAAAGATTCCAGAAATGAAGATAATATTGTTAATTTTTGAGGGACAAAGACCACATTCATGTCTATTTAACTTCATGAATTATACGCCATCTTCATTTGAGCAGTGATTGCATAAATTTCCCTCGTATCCAAAATTACAAAGCTTAGCATTATTTGATGAATCTAGTGAATTACCAATGCAAGCTTGATCATATAGACAAGGTAAAATATTTGTGGAGATATTTGATGACCTCCAAAATCCAGGTAAAACATTAATAATATCTCCTCCAGGACACTCAGCATTCTCCATGCATTCAATGCAGGAAGGATTGAATCCGTTCAATGAATAATATCCAACTCCACATTTTATGCATCTAGAAAAGTCTAAAATAAATAATCTTACTATCCATTTGAGTTAATTTCTCCACTTTGGCATTATCTAAAATCAAAGTAAATATATTCAAGATTGATCTATTTAGTTTGATCGTTTGGAGAAATTTCAAATACTCTCATTATATAATTGGTATCAATACTTGATGATTGTATTTTAAATGAAACATTCTTGCTTCCTGGCATTGAGTAAAATTTAAGCATTCCTACCTAAAAGATTCCTATCCCATTTTCAACTTGAATTAGATATTCTCCAGAAATTTTGGTATTTTAATCAGTTGCTCTAATGTATATAAAACTAAAAGTTTGATTAAGATACTTAATTTTACGAGCTATTATCGTTTGTGACTATCTAACCGTCAGCATCAATGATTCCAATTTTTATTAATCCTTAATATGCTTAGCCACTTGCCAATGGAATATTATCATAGCTTTAAACAATAACACTATAAGGGTAACCAGCCATTTCCGGGCCGTAAGGTGCATAATTACCAATATTAAAAACATTATTTGAAAGTTTTTATGGTCTATGTTTGTTGTAGTATATTGCTCCACCCTTAGTGGTAGCATAATTTGAAGTGAATTAATTAGTATCGATATCATATATGCACGTTATTGCTATAGAATTATTATTGATAAATTAAAATTACATGGAGAGCATATTAAAGCCAATGCGCCACCATCTTTTGCATAATTTTCAATAAAATTTGAAAACTTGACGTTAAAGTTTGTATTTTTTACGAGCATCGCGCCGCCTTATTCTCGAGACATTCCTCTAATAAAAGTGGAATTTTGAATCCACATTGTGCTGTATAAAATGTTTATAAGTTTGCTATCCTGTAACCTATAATTAATCATATTTTGATGATAAGCATCTAAATCATAGGTTCAGTTATTCGCAATTAGTGATGATCCAGTTATGTTAATTTAGCTAAGTTGAATTAAGAAAAGAGTCTTATTGAAATCAATGAATGTTGAATTATTTATTTGAATCTTTTCGCATCTAAATAAGTATATTAAAGTTTAAGCGGCAGTTTGCATTGAATAAAAATATGAATCATTGAGTATCAAACTTGAAGAATCAATTTTCATTAGTCTATCACTAGTAAAAGGGTAGCTGAGATTTAATATTGATACATTTCTGATTACTATTTCAGTATTTACAGTTGAAAGTAGCTATAAATTGCTAGAAACTAGTTAAGTATCAAATATTTAAACTTTACTATTTAAATATGATTCTATTATGTACTATTTGTGTATTATTCTAGGATTTTAGTAAAGTATGTTATAGAATGAAGTATTTTGTAAAAGAAACTATGATTAGGTGACTGTGATGAAAGATCCATCTGAATCATTTACAGTCATATTTAATATTTACGTATTATATATACTGACACCAGCAAC